ACGAGCCCCCGATGGGGAGGACTGGGCTGGCTCTGCGGGCTTCTGGGGGTGGAAGCTCTCCTGCAGCCCCCCAATTGCCCTCTCTCGCCAGATGGCAGCCTGCGGCAAGTGCAGCTGGTCTGATGGCCGAGTGGTGTGATGTGCCCAGTGTGGGCACTCCGGGCACTCCAAGCCAGGACTGCTTTGCAAGTGGGACACCCCTGAGAACTGTCTGTCCGGGGTGGGGGTCGGGTCCCTTTAAGCACAGCCCTCGGCTAGCCTGAGGCAGCAGCTCCACGCTCTAAGTCCTAATCTGATGCCCTGCCGGCACTGCTTCCGGCCATCCTTAACCCCGGTTCAGGGTCCACTTAATGTGGACATGCTAGTTTGAATTAGCAAAACGCTAATTCGAACTAGTTTTTAGTTCTAGATGCGTTAGTTCGAATTAGCTTAGTTCGAATTAGCGCTGTAGTGTAGACATAACCTGAAATAGAATTTGGGGTAGGGATGTAAAGGGTTAACCAGATACCCAATAAGCATTCACCTGGCTGGAGCATCTCCTGCTGTGAGATCCTGTTTAGCCGGTTAATTTTTTAACCAGGATTTTGCATCCCTAATTTGTGGTTTGACTATTGATACATTTACCTCTTATATGTGTGAAGAACAAAGACAGTGTGTTACCATTGTCCAAAAGCAGATGGAGTGAAAAGATATGAGAGATGGAGCAGGGTGTGGTGGGATGGTTATACAGGAGCATACACTAGAAGGTTGCTTGGCTTTCTCTCTCAAGCCAAGGTCAAGTAACCAGTTGGGAGGGGCAAGGAGGAGGGATTGTGGGAGGAGGTAAAACACTAAAAGACCTGCAAAATTCCTGCCTGCACCTGACAAGAATGCAATCTCATGCCCTACCCCTCCCATGGGGTACAACAGAGTTGGATGAAGACCCAGACCCATGACCCGCCCCCCCAAACAGCATGACCATAAGTTATAAGGAGTGAGATTATGAGGTGGGAATTGCGGGAGTACTGGACTTGCTAAGAAGGAGGAGGGGAGAATTGGGAACAGGGAAATGGAGAGGTGGGGCACAGGAAACACTCGGGGATGTCAGGGGGGTGAGGATTTAGGCTCTGCAGTGTCACAGCTAGGAATGGAACACGGGAGCAGACTCTGTCACTGTAGAGAGATAAGCCCGACTGATGTGAAGGGCTTTGGCATATGCTTGCTTGGAAACTAACTCCAGTAAACACTGCATTGTCTGCACTTCAGACTTGTCCTCTGCTCTCTGTCTACTACATGATAAGAATAGGGGAGAGGGTGCAAGGAGAGCCCCCTGACGTCTCTAGTTACAGCATCTCCAAGGAATGCATAGTACACATTCAGTGCCTGGATCATTCTTCCAACCTCTCTTCTTCCCCTGACTTGCACATACAAGGCAGCCTCCCACATGTGGATCTCTGATTTCCCATGAGCAAGAGGGAGTTGCCCCTTCCTCTTGATGTTGCCAAGAGCAGTCTGCTGGCTGAGGATCCACAGGAGGGTTGCACTCTTACACTGATTCCCCTGTGCCCACTGGCTCCATGGTAGTTAGATATAAAAATAACCAAACTCCAGTAGGGCATCCACTGCTCACTAAGGCTATGTCTAGACTGCAGGCTTCTTTCGAAAGATCGCGTCTAGACTGCAGGCGGATCTTTCGAAAGAGAAATCCGCTTTTTCGAAAGAGAGCACCCAGCGAGTCTGGATGCTCTCTTTCGAAGACGGCCTCTTTACATTGAAGAACGCCTTCCTTCGAAAGAGGAACTTTCGAAGGAAGGCGTTCTTCCTCGTGAAACGAGGTTTACCGCCATCGAAAGAAAAGCCGCGTTCTTTCAAAATAATTTCGAAAGAACGCGGCTTGAGTCTGGACGCAGGGGAAGTTTTTTCGGGAAAAGGCTACTTTTCCCAAAAAAGCCCCTGAGTCTGGACACGGCCTAAGGGTATGTCTACACTACGGGAAAAGGTTGAATAAGATACACAACTTCATCTATGTTAACGGCGTAGCTGAAGTCAAAGTACATTAACTTAACTTGTAGGGACAAAGTGAGAAAGGCTAAAAGTCAGGTAGAGTTGGACCTTGCAAAGGGAATTAAAACCAATAGTAAAAGGTTTTATAGCCATATAAATAGGAAAAAAACAAAAAAAGAAGAAGTAGGACCGCTAATTACTAAGGATGGAGTGGAGGTTAAGGATAATCTAGGAATGGCCCAATATTTGAACAAATACTTTGCTTCAGTCTTTAATGAGGCTAATTGGTAACATAACAAATGGGACTAAGGATATGGAGGTAGATATTACCATATCCGAGGTAAAAGCCAAACTTGAACAGCTTAATGGGAGTAAATCGGGCGGCCCACATAATCTTCATCCAAGAATATTAAAGGAACTGGCACATGAAATTGTAAGTCCATTAGCAAAATTTTTTAATAAATCTCTAAACTCCGGGGTTGTACCATTTGACTGGAGAATTGCTAATATAGTTCCTATTTTTAAGAAAGGGAAAAAAAGCGACCCAGGTAACTATAGGCCTGTTAATTTGACATCTTTAGTATGCAAGATCTTGGAAAAAATTTTGAAGGAGGGGAAAGTAGTTAGGGATATTGAGGTTAATGGCAATTGGGACAAATTACAACATGGTTTTACAAAAGGTAGATTGTGCCAAACCAACCTGATCTCCTTTTTTGAGAAAGTAACAGATTTTTAGATAAAGGAAATGCAGTGGATCTGATCTACCTCAACTTTAGTAAGGCATTTGATACAGTACCACATGGGGAATTATTGGTTAAATTGGAAAAGATAGGGATTAATATGAAAGTTGAGTGGTGGATAAGCAGCTGGTTAAAGAGGAGACTACAGTGGGTCATATTGAAAGGTGATCTGTCAGGTTGGAGGAAGGTTACTAGCGGAGTTCCTCAGGGATCAGTTTTGGGGCCAATTTTCTTTAATCTTTTTATTACTGACCTTGGCACCAAAAGTGGAAGTGTCCTGATAAAATTTGTGGATGACACAAAGTTG